CGAGGCTAGCTACTAGTTGTGCTGCTGCTGATGGTGCGAACGATAAGGCTACAAGTAAAACCTAGCGATAGTAGCCTTCAACACTCAGCAATACTTACAAGAGCCTGAAGAAGACAGCTAACGAAACATGGCCAGAAGGCGAGTCAGGTAACTTGGAAGCTTCTGCGCAGGGGTCCAAGCGCAGCCCGTGGCTCCTTGCTCATGATCCCCAGCTGCTCTGCAGCGTAGGAGCCTTTGACTCGGGTCCGGGTAGCTCCAAGATGCTCGAAGAATCAACGCGCAGTGTAAACAGCTCCGGGAGGATTTGGTGTGGATATTTGGGCATGGCCCAATGTGGACCATCTCCAAGGGATAAATTGGGCATCAGGACATTGCAGTGCACTCGTACAGGTGGCAAAAACAAAGTCTTAGTAGATCTTTGCTTCCGGAAGAGCTGGAGAGCATGCCATAGGTGACACCCAGGCCATGGGGCACCACGCCGTCGCCGTAGGCCTCCGGGCTGTGCCGCGCTCCGAAACGAAGAGCCCAAATCTGATGCTGGGGTGCAAAATGCCTTGGAAACTAACGAGCGGGGGAAACATGTACGCATGCATAGTCATATGCTAATATGCATGATGTTACGTACGATAACAAAGAATTCGCCGAGCTGGAGCCTTCTCTATGGCGTGGGACACGGTGTGCCCATACTCGAAGATCATGCCAGCATTCCTTTCGTAGGCATCTTTTGCCAGCCTCGAACCAGCCGCACGACTTGTAGCTTAAGGCTTAAGGGCCTCAACACCCTTCACTCTCGAAACCTCGAAAAATCCATCGGCAGCACATGCCACGACGACTGAAGCCTTTGGAAATCTACGGAAGGGTTTACCATGCATCTGGCCGCCATATGACTCGTCGGGTGGCACTGACATCTTGGCATCAATGCCCAGAGCCAAGAGCTCCATGAGCATGTGATCGTCCATGGTGAACTCATCGCCTTGTATGCGAGGGTCCCCCGGCGGATTAGAACCCTTCAAGCCTCTGGTCAAGGTACGCAAAGCGATGGGTGTAGGGTGGCTTTCGACGGGACACAGCCAGGGAACGAAAGGCAACCAATCAAGTGTCATTCCAAGCATATGAGCCGAGAAAGTTGAGCCCAGCTGCCTCAACCATGCTCAAGAGCCCCAACCTCAGACTGAGCAGGGTCAAGGTGCCTGATCCGCCTGCATCCGAGTTGATCCTCTCAGAGCTCAAGGCCTCGCGCGAGAACACTCGGACGGCTCGGGTGAGGTGACTGACAGGCCTTACCGCTCGTGCCTCCATACTGACAGGCTGGACCGTCGATCCAAAGCTAGAACTCAACGGTTTGCCTTCCGGAAGCCATCCGCGTGCTTCCCCCCCAGCAGCCTCAGCAACAACGTGCTCGCTGACTGAAAATGCTAACTGCGGATCTAAATACTAAAGTGTGCACTGAATGTCACCAGCGACGATGCACTCGAACAGTTTCACACATTATGAAAAGTGGTGACTCGCTCATTAGCTTTGGAAAGTACGGTTGCTAGCATGGATGTTGCCCTTGTGTCCGCCCCGGACTTCAGGAGTGCTCCCGTCCGAGCAGGACACTCCAGGTGCCTCTCGCAAAGCTCTGCCAGTAGGGGCTAGAGCCAGCTCTTAGCAGCTTCAGCCACGTTCTAAGGTCAACGAATCCGGAGCTCGAGCTCCACAGTTCTCTCGAGTCTTCTTCGGGCTGCGGCCGCTCGATTCTGGACTTTGATTCGCTGAAAGCCGGCGGACTCACAACGAAACTTCGAGGCAGACTCCGTCTGGGATCGTCTGGGGCCGATTTGATGCAGGTCATGGCCTACAAGGTAAGTGCCCAGCGCCGCATTTTTTGCGAGCTCGCCAAGGCCAGAGAAGAGCTCTGCCCTGGCTCACCGAGCACACATATCTTATCATATCTTGGGCTTCGGTAGGACTGAGAGTCTGAGAGGGGTGGCGATAAGCCTCTCGTGCTTCTAAGAGCAGATGCAAGGTGACAGTCTCAAGTTCGAGGAGGAAGCTGTCGTTCAGCTGGCAGTCATGGGTGCTATGCCGCAGTATGTCAGCGACAGTTGAATCCGAAGCCTTGGGGTGAGGCTGAACTACATAGCAGTGTTATCAGTCTACGCGCCATCTGCGGATTCTCCTTGCTCACACTACTTTCTCGAAAAAGGCATTGAGAGAACACCATCGTAAGCCTTAGCATGTCAAGACTCGACGGAGCATGGCCGCTGATCGCTTAAAGCGAACGCGACATTAATGTCACCAAGAAGAGTCTCTGAGGCTCCAGGTGCTTCAAGCAGCGTGCCTAGGCAACGTTCGGCAGAAGCCCACATCAATCAGGATCTTCCTGCGGTTCAGGATGAAGTAGAGTTCGGGATTCGGAGGCTTGCGGGTCAAGCTGATTTCGGCATCTGTCCTACTGCTACTTATCATCATGAGTCCTGAAACTTTTTCAACTTCAAACGTTCTTGCTGCACGTCTGCTCAGTGCGAAGAGGCAGAAGGCATGCGGGCATGCGAGATGAGTGACAAGAGAACCACTATCGAACCGAAATTGACGCCACGGCACAGAGGCGCGTAGAAGGAGCCGATGTTGTTCTTTCCTTGGCTCCCGGCAGCCGGGCTCGAACGAGACAAGGGTGCGTGATTCTCGTTGATGCCCCTGCCTTTCCGAAAGGTCCACGGGGTGGGCCTTCCACATCCTATGCATCTTGGAGGCCCACTGGGCTTCCCATGCCAAGCATCGTCCGTTGTAGCAAATCGACGTCTTGAGGGATGTCGTGACGTCGTGCATGGCGAGGAGCGTGGTCGGCACCTCAAAGAGCAAATTGCTGTCGAGAACTGAGAGAGGCAGCTGGAAGCTCGGCCCTGGGCGTAGATGAGCTTGCTTCCACGGTAGAAGATCGAGGCAAACAGGCCCGCGACGTTCCTCGAATAGCAGCTAAGATCTGCTGAAGTCGGTGGCACTCAGGCATGCTGGCAAGTCGCATGAGGGCACCACCACCGAAGGCCTCATATGGCTGCAGACGGCGGCAAAGATCAACTTGAGCGCGAAACTGCGAATCATCTCCCTTGACCTGTCTAAGCGGCCACGACCAGCGACTTCTTGGTCGCACCGGTGCTGAAGGCCCACCTTAGAGCGACGTCCCACATGTCTCCCGAAGCTGTGCCGGGGGCATCTCCCTCCTGGTGATTTCATCGTGAGATGCTTCATAAATCATGTTGTTCGGATGTCGGGAGCATAAGTTTAAGACAAGCTTGTGACGACTGCCTGAGCTGACCTCGAAATCAGGCTGATGTCCCGCGAGCTGTTTCTTTATCGCCGAGTCACTCCATGAGTTGCGACAGGTGGTCCCAGGATTTCGCCTCATCGCCGCTCGGCAACACCATCCTCAGAATGCGGTCTCAAGCACGAGGATTCATCTTTTCAGACACACATACACACACACACACACACCCGTCCCCGCAACCCTCCGCAACCCATCTTCGACGAACCGACCTGTGAAAACCGGGCTCACGGAGCGGCGAGGCGCTTCTCCAGCGGCGGCACGACCTCCGAGTGGAAGTTGTCGCCAACACCACCAGAGGCCCCGGCCTGCACTTCAAAATCTTGCGCCGACACGCTTTCTCTTCACGTCTATACCTTTGCACATCTGTGCGCGTGTGTGCGTGTGCGCGCTTCTGCTTCATTCATCACACAGAGGACACTTTGCTCCGAAACTTGTCCTGCAGAAGCTGCCGGAGCTTCCGGTCCGAACCATGGCCTCCATCAGAGGCTTAAAATAGTCGCCGTGCATCTCATCAACCGTCTTTTCACAAACCTGTCACGACTCAACAGAATCAGCACTGTGACAGATGAGAGAGAGAGAGAGAGACAAAAAACGAGAGGAAGGGAAGCAGAGCCTCTCTACATCCTACAGCTTGACATCAGGACGTAAGGATTTGAGGCGCTCCTCAACCCTAAACCCCGACCCCTCCGCCAGCATTTCGCGGCTAGCAGACGCCTTTATCCTACGCCTGAAGCCTTCAAAACCTACATCTTTTAAAGACAACCGCTCTTTTCAAATGCCAGCGAGAGCCTACAGCGCCCAAAGCCGAAGACACTCCCCTAAGGCACAGGGTCCGAAACTGCCGAGCGAGATGCCAACAGGATCCTGTCCGGCTTGACCTCCAGGATACGTCCCATGACCTCTCGGCTGTCGGAGACTTGATCGCTGTAGTCTAGCACACGATGGTGGAATGTCGGTATTTGATATCATATGCATTGCCGTATATTGAAATATGTTGGAGTGATGATTCGTGGTACCTTTAGTAGTGGGTGATGAACCGCTGTCGCACATTATGTCAGGTGTGGCATCTTCTTGTCTATCGCTGAATGCTGCCTCGCATATCCGAGACGGCAGCAAACAACTACAACCCTGCCAAAAAAAAAATGCGCTTTCAGCCACGACGCATCATCAGCACTCAACAAGCAAGCCGGATCTATCGCGCTGCCTCTGACTGCACGTCCACTCCAAGCCATCCCGGTACTTCGGCACGGTCCGCGAACTTAAAGTTGATCTCCTGCAGAGATTCATGTCTTGCGAAGTGGGTTCGAAGGCTCCTATAGCTCCCAGCTTCGAGGCTGTCCTCCATGGCGCAAGCGAGCAGAAAAAAATGGCCCGACAGCGAGGCTCCGCTTGGCTTTCGGCTTTCGGGCTGAAAAGCGGCGGTCCAGAGGCAAGTGACACAGAGACAAGTACACGGTGAGTTCGACTGTAGACTTTAGACTCTTAAGACTAGAGGTCACACGCTTTTGCAGGATCAAGCTGTGCTAGAGGTCACACCCTTTCCTGCAAGCCGCGAATTAGCACTTGGAAAACCCGGCATTACCAGCCCCGCCGACCGACGACGAGTCGAAATCCTTCCTACGCGGGCCTTTCAATTGTATAGCACTTTAAAAAACCTGTACCTCTGCTGGCAAACGAGCTCCGGGGCTCCCACGTGCGGCCTCGTCAGACCAGGTGTTCGCCAAGGCTTTGGCCAGGTCCTCTCAGTGTCACAACAGGGCTGGTGGGGAGGCGGGTCTGCAGTCTGCAGCTACACATCATGGCTGAAGACAGCTCGTGGTCCAACTTCAGACCGCCCAAGCCTTATCAGCAACGCCCCCATCCGACTGTCCGAGCATGTGCATTAATTCGTGTTTAGATTCGAGAAGCGAGGGAGATCAATCGTCTGCCAGGCCAAACATATGTCGATCATAAACGCTCGAAGCTTCACAAAGGGCTTCGGCTAGCATGCAAGTGAACAGTGGTCTGCAGCGTAACAAGTGAGCAAAAATAATGTAGTACCCCCAACGGGCTCCGCAAATACCAGGGAATCGCATATGCAAACAACATGTCTCTCAAATATCGCACGCATGGATCTGATTTGGGCTCCGAGAGAGCCTAAGGCTGCGTCGAAATGCTAGAACCGCCCCAACAAGACTCTTCTGCGCGCCGCGCCACAAAAAGTCAAACGCACAGCACGCGGCAATTACAACGATTTCGGGGCATTACGAGACGTCTCTAATCAGCTCTAGTTTTAATAACGTTTGAGTGGTTCGGTCAAAATCTTGCCGCTCAAGGAGATCGATCTTCTTGCAAACTGTCAATCGAACCGGTCGCCTCTGAAAAACTGTTATCCTTGTCGAGCGTTTCGCTTATCCTTCTCAAGTCACCAAATCCTTCGAACGGTTGTTTCCTCTCTCTCTCTCATGGTCAAACCCGGCGGTCCATTTCGAGCAGTTTGTCTCAGAATCGCAGGTCCCTTTCGAAGTCTATGCTCCGTTTTATTCAAATTCCCTGGTGCCCGCCTCCCCCCCACTTTGAACCTTCTCCTCCCGGCCTGCGGTGTCTCTGCTGCAAGCCGGTTCAAGAAGGACTCCAGCGACTCCCGGACCTGCAGCTGAGGCTTCGACTAGGCCAAAGGTCACAAGAAAAGAGGGCCCCAAGGGACAAGAGACCTCGATCTGACGATTTCAAAAAGGCGAACGTGAAAGCAGCAGACTCCAACTAAGAAGCCGCAAAACGAAGCGGCAAAGACAACCTGGTGCCAGTTTCCACATCTTCAACCTACCCTGGCATGGGAATACAGACAGTTTCGCAAGCAAGTCTGTGTCTCTGTCTCGGTGCCGGTGCCTGTCCACCACTATCTGGCAGCATCGCACAGAACGTACCGCCAGCTCTTCCACTGGCCCGTCGAGCCTCCTCCTCCTCCTCCTCAACCTCTGTGGTGTCGTCCTTGTCTTCGTCGGACTCTGCCTCGATCATCTGTTCGAAGACAGATTACTGGTTTGCGGGGCACTTTTTTTCGTGTATAAGTGCTACTCATCTACTTGCTATACCCCATTCGTGCATGCCTTAATCTGTCTACAGGCTGCTCTACTTGCCCAGTATTGTACACGCGAGTTCTTTGCCCTACACCCTGAAGCCTCAACCTTAGCCATGCAAGATCATGAATCCCACATCCTGAACTCTGAACCATAAATCCTGAACCCTGACAACCCAAATCCTTAGCCGTACCTCTTGGACCCTGAATGCTGAACCTTACGGCCCCTATGATAAATTTAAACCCCAGGCGTTCTACCCTGAATGCTAAACGATAACCGAAAGCCCTCCCGATTTACAGGCGAAGTGCTACACCCTAAAACTTCCGAGGCCCTGGCCTCTTACTAAACTCCCCAAACACTGCTCAAATCCGAGCCTCTCAAAGACTTCAATCCGGAACCCTAAACCCTGAACTCCTCATCCTCGCGCTACCACAATTATTGAGCCCTAGACCATGCATCCAAAGTCCTAAACCCTAAATCCTCGAGCCCAAACCTCAAATCCAAAACCCTAGACACCAAAAAAACTGCAATCCTAATCCCTAAAACCCTCAGTCCTCAACCTCTCACTACCACAAAGCCCAAGCCCCAGACCCTAAATCTCACTGAGCCCTTAACCCTAACCCCAACCTCAAATCCAAAACCCCAGACTCTCAAAAACTTCCATCCTAAACCCTAAATCCACACAATTCCCAAGCCCCAGACCCTAAATCTCACTGAGCCCTGAACCGCCCCGATTCCAAACCTGACATCCAGAACCCTAGACTCTCAAAACCTTCAATCCTAAGCCCTAAACCCTAAACCCTAAATCCTTGACCTCACAGTTCCCAAGGGCTGCACCCTGAATCATACTAAGCCCTAAACCATGACATCTACGAATGTTCTAAACCCTGAAACCTAGGGCCTAAACCTCAAATCAAAAACACTAAAATCTCAAAACCCTCCCAAATCTTAGACCCCAAATCCGCAAGTTCCTGCTACCCCAAATCCCAAGCCCTTACCCTAAATCTTATTTAGTCCTGGACCCTGCGTCCTACAAATGGCCTATTCCCTGATTCCTAGAGTCTAAGCCTCACAGACTCTTAGAGCCTTCAAAACCTAACATTCAAATCCTAACCCATCCTAGCTTTTGCTTCTTGCTAAGCCCAGAATCCATGGCCCTTGTCCGGGCCTCGTCTTTCGACTCTTTCCTCGGAGCCTCCGGGCTGATTGGCTCTTCCTCTCGCAGGCGTCAGAGTCAGGGTGGGCCTAAATACCTACGAGCAACACTAGCACTGTCTGGGAGAATATGTTCTATGTTACATTCCGCTATATGTGGTGGATGTCACAGACGTCGGGGGCATCGTCGAACATGTCTGATCATGTCTGAGGGTCTGAAGGCCTGAGAACTCAATGGCTTTGGAATCATCTTGGAAACTGTTGGAGCCCGCGCCCATTCCGAGTTCCAAAGCGACACCTTCGCGCGCCTCGACGGCTACAGCAATTCAGCATTATGGTGTGCTTTTCTATGTTCATCATCTTTGCAAGATGTGTTCGCTTGTGATGCTCACACGGCATGCGATTTTGTTCAATATCTGCATGTAATCCTTGCCAGCTTAATTTCTCTGGGACAGCGCAGTATCTCATGCTTCTCCATAGCAAGTTGCGAGTCATGTCTTTGCCGGCCTGCTCGGTGACCCGGAGCCTCCAGAAATCTGAAATCTGCAAACGTCTCTGTCCTGGTCTTCCGGGGATGTGCCCATCACCGTACTTTGTGTCCCGCCGAGATATTCAGGCGTGGGAGCCTTCCAAGAAGGCGGGTTCTCTCTCGCAGCTCGTCCGGGGTGGAGGGTTCGGGGCTTCGTGGTCGATGAGGGTTTCAGTCGCCGCAACCGGGGCTGACAATGCTCCGAGCCCTCAAGACATGGGCCAGTGTGCCAGGTGTATTCAGGCACAAAGCTGTGAGTTTTTGGTGCTTGGCTGCTTCCCGATCAGACATCCCTATCGCGGATGACACTGCGGATCCTTATTCCAGCTCGTAGTTGTACGCAACCCCTCGCAGCAACACAGCGCACCTACGGAGTAAAGCTAAAGCCTACGGCGACAACCCCGGGCCAAGCCTGAGAGAGGCTCAGCAGCCGCGACTCCGATGGAAGCGAGGGCCCCAGCGAGGTGGCGCTGCCTCACAGGCCGGGAGGCCACTCGCACTCTCCGAGCACTGCAAGAGCCCCACCTCGGGTAGTGTCCGGCGTGCGAGCCTCCCAGTGGCGGACCTCTCGAGCAGGATCCGATAGGCATAGGAGGCCGAGTGCCACGTCGCAATGATCGGAAGCTTTCGCTGCTCAGTATGCAAATGTGCGAATCTTAGTCTCGGAAACTATACGCGAAAGCCAAACTCAAGCTCTGAGACGCTGAGCCTGCTTCCAAGGCTTCACCGGCGATGCGTACCGGCAGAGAGGCCTCTGAGACTCGCACGGTTCAACTAACCATTCAGCTAATCGAGAAGCCGTGGCAAGGGGCACCAGAGGGGAGCGTGCACGTCCTCGCATGTCCTTGCGACTTTCTTCCAGAACTCCCGCTTCCTGTACTCCCCCTGTGGGCCAGGCGGAACCGAGTCAGGATCCGGCAGGGCCTCATGGACTCAACTCACGAGACGGGGGCATTGGGCTTGGGGAGCGCGATGGGGAAGAGGAGAGCAGTCCCCGTCTTGCAGTGGCCGTCCAGCACAGTGATGCTCCTAGTCCTAGTCTTCCTGGCACATCTAAACAGGGTCATCTCTCACCACACTACAACACGCGCAGTGGTGGTACTGTGCAAATACAGCGAACCATCAGCAACCACCTCAAACCTCTGCTTCACTTCGAAGCACGTCGCACGTTCAAAAGCAAGGAATATGCGAGTTGTCAGACAAGGGGCCTCAGCAAAGGATAGGAATGCCCCCGGTGAGGTTGTGGAAGGTGTGGCTTTCTGCACAGGAGAGATCCTGACGGAGGTGACATGGGGATTCAAGCTTCGAGGGTCTCAAGGCCATGCCCTTGGTGATCTGTTCAATTTCACAAAATTCTTGGGCTCACGGAGTTCAGGAAACCACGAGCAACCAAGACAACGCCCTTCTCCCGCGCCTGCCTGGGGCTCTGCCGGCAGAACTCGGGGCTGCCCAAGCAGAGTACCCGTTTGCGGACCGGGCTCTCGCTCAGGGTCAGCCCTGCCGGGGCAAACGGAGTTTGGAGGTGGGGAGAGAGAAGGACGGGGGTGGCGAGGCACTTTAAACATGGATCCTCGCTTGCTTCATCAAGGGCTTTTGGTTACTTGGTTGCCGGAGACCTAAGTCCTTTGCAAACAGAACCTGTTGCAAAAGAAGACCAGGACCGGCACAGCACAGGACGTCAAGACAAACGGTATCAGATTTGCTTCTGCACTGGGGGCAGCTTCGATTCGATTCGAGAAGGGCTAAATATGGTGGAAGAGCCCGAACGATGTTGCCTGGCTGTTGGGTTCTGCGGTGCACTATGCCGCGCTCCATTTGCCTGTGGAGTGTTGTCGTACGCTGCTGCTTGGGTGCTTCGCAAGGATTTGAACAGAAAGCTTTCAAAACTGTCGGCTGGGATCACAAACCCGAACAGCCTCCGCGTCGGATCTCTGGCGGCCGCAGCTTCCCCAAATCCTCCAGCAACGTCGTCTGCACGTGCCGCAGCCCCTTACAAACTCTCAGTCTGAGACCAAACAAAATGAAGCATCTCCTGCAGCAAGGCCTCAAGAGGCGCTGGTAAACAGCCTCGTGGCTCAGCCGGACATGTGTTCTGCTACGCTGGGTCTTCCAGCAAAAGAATCGTTGTCACAGTTGAAGTTCGAGGCAAGTCTGCTGATCTGCAAGGCTTCATTCATGCTCGCCAATGTGCCCACCGCAAATCATGGGCACAGATGAGTTCCGAAGTACCCAAAAACATCTGACAAGTTGAAGCCACCGCCCGTTCTAGTGTAGACTCAGATGACGCTGCGGCGTGCACAGTTCGACAAATCCACAACCTCCGGCATGCAAGTTGCCTTTGGCAAACTCTGAATGAACCGAAAGACAGGCCTGCATGCTGCTACACCCGGCCTGCAGCACCAGCAGGCTGGTGCCTACATGTGGGAGCTGCTGAGAAGCTCTCCGCGGTGGCTGAGCAAGACGCTACTCTCCATCATGACTTCTGGGGTTGCGATACCGGTACCATGGGTGAAGTGGGTGTGGGCTGATCTTTCAGCTTATGTAATGTTCCTTACAGGTTCGTGAACTGGCTTTTTGCAAAGAAGCTAATCAGTATGGCTCAGGATATTGGGCATACTGGGAAGATCTGCTTTTTGGTTGAAAGTCCCGGATGCTCACGAGCGCTGCAGGAGGTTCCTTGTGCCACAGTCCAGTTGGGCCTGTGCCCCAGACAGCTATTAGATATGTTGTGCAAGCTCTGAGTCTTTCGCAAATCCAAATTAAGACAAGCATTTCCAACCGGTGCCTTTCTGCCATCAGCTCCAGCACCACTTCTTTCGCACGGTCCTTCCGAAAGAGGGACGGTCTGTGAAGCGTCTCGGGAACCTCATGTCCGCGCCTTTTGGAGGCCAAGGGCCAGGCCCAAGAAGGCACCCAGGCCGGCTGGGCCCCCGACTGCACGGGGGCACCTGCAAGGCTGCGAGTAGAAACAGCCGCAGTCATGCAGAGTGAATCGGGGCCTTGCCGTGGCGCCCAGCAGCACCCGGACAGCCTCTTGGTCCCGCAGACGACCCTGCACGAAAGACTTGGCACGGTTTCAGGGTGCCGGCTGGTCAGAACCTGACAATTTGCCATAACAGCGCAGACAGCCACTGCGCCGAAAATGCACATCCTCGTGTCAGATCGGTGTGTGTTGTGCGGCCAGCAGCTGTTGGAGGGTTCGCAGAAACATGGGTATACACATCTTGGCAAGACGAGCGCACCGGCCATGAACCCACAAGTCCCGGAGGCTTCCGGCGCTCCTTCGCGCGGGCCTTCACGGCCCATGCGAGGCGAGCAAGCAAGTGATCCTGACACATCGAGGCGCTCTTTTCATGGTCGGGTTATCATCGTATCATAGGCAGTTCTGGCAATTCTATTCTAGGTTCAGCCTGCTTCTCAAAGACGGCTGTATATCTGAAAAGCCAATCTGAGGCAGAGACCCTTAACTTCCTGAACCTTGACCATTGAAACTGCCCCAAGCCCAGACTCTCAAACCCGTGGTGACATTCTGCTGGAAACCCGACCCTTTGAAATGTGTACTCACTTCGGCCCTCTCCAGAGCCCTATTGGGGCCCCTGCCCCTGGTGCAGACAGGAGGGGCGCCAGGCGTGCGAGACAGCGCAGCGATGCCGCAGCCACAGCCGGATGGTCATCCTCTGCCTTCGATGGAGAGTCTTCGCGGACAGAATTAGTGAGATCGCAAGTGACAGAGAGAGGCCGGCGCAGGAAGAGATAAGGAGAGAGAGAGAGAGAG